GTGGCTCGTTTTGGGCTCTCTGTGTCTTCAGGGCTGGCCTTGCTGTAGCCCCACACGTGTGGTCCATCTCCAGGGTCAACGGCTCTCTACAATTTTCTATACCATGAAGCGGACTTTGATAAATACAGAAGCAATCAAGCCACACAAAGTATCTTCTCCTACCAAGGGAATAAATATTAGAACTCAGTAACAGGAAGATATATGGAACCTGTCCCCAAATACTGGAAAATATGTAACACTCTTCTAAGTACTACATGGATCAAAGAGAAAAATCCACATCAGGGAGCGCTGCGCACCGAAAGGAAATGAAGCTCCGCGTGTGGGAACTGAAGGGGGCTCAGCACCCGCCGCCTGCTGCAGGGAGGAGACACCCAGACCCCGCCCAGAGGTGACCGTGGGACCCACGCAGGCCGCAGGCCGAGGAACAGAAACAACACCCGTGGGGGGAGGACGCTGTGAACCAGGAGTCCGTTCTTCACGATGACGCTTAAGATTGACAAGGCAGTAAACAGGCAGCCCGACCCAAGGCCACGGGGACACGAACGACTGATGCCAGGGGCGGGAGCACTGACACCGCCGTGGGCTCCAGACGCCTCCCAAGCGCCCCACGGGGCATCGTGGATGGGCTGGGGCAGAGGTCACGCAAGAGGAAGTGGACGCCTCGTGGCCCCTCATTAAGGACAGAGGCAGGCACAGCGCCTGCCCTCGCGGGCTCCCACTCCCGAGTAGGGATATGGATGCTGGAGAGGACGGAGGACACGCACGGCCGCGGGGAGGCCGGCTGGGGACAGCAGTGGCTGAGCTGCAGCGATGCCCAGTGCAGAGAGCCGTGACCCGGACACCCTCAGCACACACGCGATGGTTTGTGGAAGGAAAGGACTGCCTTACAGGAGGGGACACAGGGCCAGCGGGTCCTGGGGTCGTCCTGGCAAGAGGTGACTGGAGCTGTGACAGAAAGGCACAGCGGGTTTGGGGTTTTGGGGGTCAGGGCCACCAGGTGCTGCCGGTGGCCCGGGCACGAGGGAGGCATCGGGAGGGCTCTCCACCCCACCCCAGGCAGGTGGGTGGCTGCAGTGCCACGCGCTGGGAGAGGCGAGGCTGGCAGGAGGATTCTTGCTGTGGTCCTCCTGGGACCCAGGTGGGAAGCCAACACCCTGGCGGCAGGTAACAAGGCACAAGCACAACACTCCTCCGCCACGAGATGCGACTGCAGGGTGGCCACCAACGGAGGCCAGTGTGTCCTGCCAAGATGGAGACAGCGGGGCAGGCAGGACCCCACCGCTCAGAGGCTGTGGCTGTCCCCGGAGGCTGTCCACCCAGATGCCCCATCACAGGAAACCAGCCCAGTTCCCACCTGGCCAAGGGTCATAAACAAATATGCTCGAACCAGATCAAAACAAGACACAGGAAAAGTCACCTTCCTGTGCCTCGGTTTCCCTCAGAGCCTCGCCTTCCTTAGATAACCCCCAATGGCTCACTGAAGTCAAACTGAACCGTGAACTTCCTGTGTGGAAACAGAAGTGCCGAGTCTGGGATACAAACCCCAGGGCACCAAGGGCCACGGTAAACGGGGAAGACAGTGAGCTGGGTAAGGACCCCGGAGAGACGAGGCCTGGCACAAAGTCCTGCCCCCGCGGCTCAGGGACAGAGGTGCCCCGGCCGCAGGGACAGGAGGGGGAAGCCGGATTTGAAGTCCGGCAGGTGCTGTGTTTTAGCGCTTTGCTGCCCGCTGTCTCTGATACACACCCCCGGACCTCCCGCCCAGGCCACGTGACCAGACGTGCGCCTCCCGGAAGAGGCTGACTCAGTTTCCTCCTGTTCCCCATTTCACCTTTGTCCCGGCCGGGACGAGCTGTCACTTCCTCTCTCAGCGATGACAATCGCCCGTCCCTGAGGCCAACGTCCAGGACGGGATGTCCACGCAGGTGGCATGGGGGGCCACACAGGCCAAGAATAAGCCCCTCGAGTTTTGGGAGAAGGCAAGTGGGGCCGCAGGAACACAGCAGATGAGGCCAGGAGGCGAGCGGGTCTGTCCTTTCTAACCTGGTGTCTCAGGCAGCACTGCAGCCCTGCGAGTTGGCTGGTTCTGTTAGAAATCTTTTTACCACGGTGGTGTCCTTAGGAGGATTTTCCTTAACGCTTAAAATATTTTTGAACAGCAACCCAGGCACTTGCTAAAAACATTCAAAGACCACAGAATAAACGTCCACCTTGGTGACGCCGGGGTTTCATCAGCCGGGTCTGGGGGGCATGCGTTTCATGCTCCTGATCTTCCTTCCCATCTCCAGGCTCACATCCTGGTGCCACGTGGGGAAAAACAGCCACGAGTTCCAGGGATGCGGATGTGGACCGGGCAGTCGCTGCCCTGCCCACCGCGGGGTGGCCTTAGACACCGGGCAGCTGATGATAATGCCAGAGTCTCCCTGCCCGTTTAGTCCTCACACCAGCACGAGAGGCACCGTGCCCGACTCCGGATGGCAGCTGGGCCAACGGGAATCAAGCAGGCGGCCCGGGGCCAAGAGGCCGGCAGTGGCCCTGCCAGACTTGGAGCTGAGTGGTCTGAGGCGGAGTCTGTGGTCTATGGGCCGTGGTCTACGTCCTCACAGGGTCACGGCCTCCCTGGACACGGCACGGCCCAGCACAGAACAAGATGTGTTCGCTGGAAGTCCAGTGCAACCGAATTAAAGAGAAAACGATGGCTCACTGTAAAATTCACAATCTTTTGTTTCCTCTAGAAAAAGAAAAAACTCTGCAATGCTCAACCCATACTGACCACGGGGCTCCCACCCCGCCCGGTACCCCCTGTGGTTTACTCCTCATGCCTGGTTCCCGTGTGCATTTGCGGTAGAAATTCCCAACACAGCGATTCATTCTGAAGACAGGGAAAATAGTCAAGACGGCTCCCAAAAGGGACTGGGGATTTAGCTCAGCAACATAAGCACCTGCCTTGTAATCAGGCAGTTGTGAGTTCGATCTCCGGTACCAATAAAAAGGAAAAAGACAAAAAAAAAAAAAAAAAAAAAAAAAAAAAAGAACATAAAGATGGCTCCCAAAGCCCCACAGAAACTACAGCCACTTCCGTAAGAAGTAAGAGCATGTCTGCAAGAATTCACTGCTCTGGTTCATTCCCTTATACAGATTAACACCACAGGAAAACACACAACCATGAGAAATCTTGTGCGTGAATGTTAGTAGCAACATTATTTATGACAGCCAAAAATTAGAAACCACCCAAATGCTGACTGCAGCTGAGGTGCGGGTAAGCAAAATGGCACACATGTGTACCGTGAAATATTACTCAGCAATGAAAAAGAATGAGGTTCTAATATTCAGGACAACATGGGTGAGCCCTAAAAGCATTGTGCTATGTGAAAAAAGCCAAACATGGAGGAGCAGGCATCATGATTCCACCCCTATGAAGTCTTCGGAATAGGCACGTTTATAAGAAGTAGACTGGTTTCTGTCCAGGGAGAGGCGGGCTGGAGAAATCCGGAGTACTGCTACAGAACAGAGAGCTCCCTGCGGGGATGAAACACTTCACTGCAGCGGCGGCAGCACTGCTGTGTAATTACAGGAAACCCGCAGGGCTGTGTACTGCACACTGAGAGGAACACAAGGTGCCTGCGTCACAGTTCAAAGGGTTTTTGTTTCTAAAAGTCACTGAGACTACAGAAAGTTGGAAATGGGGGGGGGGCTCTCTCGCAAGTGGGAGGGGACCAAGAGATGGAGAGAAGGGAGTGGGAAGGGGGGGAGCGTAAGAACAAAGAGGCCTCGTGCCCGTGTCCGTGCGCCAGGTCGCACGCGAAGGCGGGCTCCTATGAATAAATGGACACGTTTTGTAAGCGTTCCTGAGCCGGCTCCATCAGAGAGGGCACTGCACCGCGAGCTGGTGCCGAGGTCCACACGAGGTAGGCAGCCCCAGTATCCAGCCCCACGATCCGGCCCCGCTCAGGTCTGGGGTTCCCGTGGTCACCCCATCCGCACCTCCGGAGCCAAGCAGAGGGAGTCGCTGGGTTAGGAGACTGGGTCTTGCCATGTGGCCTGGGCTCGAACTCACGACCCTCCTGCCTCAGCCCCCAGAGGGCTGGAATTCCAGGCTACTCCACCACGCATGGTGAGAGTGCGCCCCTTAATGCCAGCGGCCGTCAGCTCTGGCTCGGCTGCTGTCACAGGTGAGCAAGACTCGGCCACACCACAAAATACAAGAGACAAGGTCCTTCACAGCGCTGGGAAGTCAGGGCAGCCCAGTGGCGCCATGGAAACCAGGCAGCCCCGCCCAGTGGGAGACTGTCCAATCGCAACCGAGGCCCCGCCCAGAGGCAGCTGTCCAAAAGCAACTGAGGCCCCACCCAGTGGAATGGAGCTGCCCAATCGCAACCGAGGCCCCGCCCTGCAGAAGAGGGTTGTCCAATCGCGGAAAGGCCCCACCCTCAGCGCCGACAGCAGCCTGGGCTCTGCTCGCTTGGGCCTCCTACTACCTGATCTGGGAGGGCTGACCGCACCTCTATCCCGCCCCTGGGTCTGCGACTCAACCCCAGGGCTGACCACTGTCATAGCGCCCACCCTCGAGGTCTGATTAGTGGGACGGGGCTTTGCCTGTGCCAGACTCCACCAGTCGATGGCCAGCATCCCACAGACCAGCTCCTGCAGCAGGGCTGCGCTGCGCAGCTGCACGGGGACAACCGCTGGCGCTTGCAACCCGCCTGCCTTGCCACTGAGGAGCTGACTGTTTTTCTAATTTTATGAATATTAATTTTACCAGCCACAGGTTACTCCTGGCTACTATATTGGAGAGTCTGGCTTCCGCACTAAGACTGAATGATAGCGTCAAAAGCCTGAACACAGCCACAGAACAACAGCAATAATAAAAATAACACAGTGGCTCCAATCATTGACTTGTTGGTTCCATAATTTTCTCCCCTAATTGTAGCAAAGTATTTCTCAAAGCAAAACAAAAGATGTATTTGTTGAAGTGGTTAATGTTTTTTGAAGCTCAGGAATTTCACATCGGATCCTTTGTCTTTTATTAAATATAATTAAGTGCGAACCTTTAAAAAAAATTGACACGTAGAGTAGGACCTCACGGCTATGCAGTGTGACGTCCACCTGCTCTGGACACTGCATGGACCTAGTCAGATGTGTGGGTGATGGTTCTGCAATTTATCCCTCGGCTCTTTTAAAACCCTCGAGTGGGCATCCATCATTGTAAATAGAAGCATTAAAAATTTCCAGGCACAATTCCATCTAGCTGCAGGCGCTGACCCCACTGAGGGAGGCCACACCTCTCCAGGTACCGTCGGGGCCCTGCGGAGGCTGCGGGAGGAGCCTTGCTCTCCTCCAGCTCAGGGGGAAGCCGGGAATTCCTGGACTCAAAGCGCCCCATGCAGCGATCAGTTAATTGGCAGAAAAAAGGGCAGGGCACGCGTTCAGGAAGCCCGCGGGCAGGGCGAAGGATGCCATAAACCGGTCTCCCAGCGCCATCTAGTGGGCATGGCTGGGACTGCTTCCACGATGCTCGCCCTTGGAAAAGAATCCTTAAAAGGCCCTCAGAAAAATGCCATCTTGATCATTTGTGAGATCAAAGCCATTTAGAAAACGGTTTGCTGGGCTCTGCACCAAGCCAAGTAAAAACAGCCAATCGGAGTATTTCCTTGTGGGCTGACACACAGCTGAGGATGTAATCACCATTCACCAGCTGTATCTACTCCAGCTGGTTAGTGGACATGCCACCCCGTTATTAAATACTTTGATTTTTACTGCGACTCTTAACTATTACCTTTTTTTGAGAAAAAATTAAATGGAAGCAAATGGTCAGTGTGCAATGCATATTTCTGTAGCAAGCACTGTGTGTTTATTGCTTTATTTCATCTTGACAATGATGGATACGGCTATACAGTAGGATGCAAGAAAACCCTTTGTACAGATGGGAAAACTGAGGCAGGGCCTGCTGAAGGGCACCCAGGTTAAGTAAAGGGTGAAGCAGACTGAGTTTTCCCACAGGCACACGTCTCTACCCATTCTACAGGGTGGGCCTTTCCTCCCTGGACGGTCACGGGCTGGCCAGGCCATTTGTTGGTCCCCATTTGTAACACTGGCTTTGGCTAGGCAGCTGGAAGTGCAGACATCCAGGCACAGCTTCCATATTCACTGCTCTGAGTGGCAGTGAACATCATCCTGGCTCAGCTGTCAACAGCCAGGGATTCTCTGTTTTGTTTTCTTAAGAAAATGACCATCTGGAAAACACGTCCTAGTTATCTAACCACCTTTAAGGAGGTGCAAAACACAGCCACGAATCCTTTCCCATCGTCCCTCTCATGCCGTCACCCAGCGGAGCCGAACAACCCCAGAGCAGCAGCCGTGGGTGGAGGCGCCGCCCAGCAGCTGTCTTTGCAGCGAGGCCATAAATATTAATGGCGTTGACAGAGCCTTTAAAAGGCTGTCAGGTCTCATCCCTGCCACAGTGGTGCCCACATTTGCCCACTCTGCGCCTCCGGCTGAGGACCACAGTCTCCTCCCCGAACCTGCTTAGCGGGGTCTGTGCTTCCTTTTCCCCTGCGGAAATCAGATGTCACCGGGGTCGCCCCAGGGAGACGCAGGCCCACCGAGCCACACTCCTAATGGCCTCCCCTCCCTTCCCACCTAGCTGGCCTCGGTCCACCTTGCACAAAGCAGCCCTGCTGGACTGTTGTTTTTCTGAATGTCCACTAGGAAGCAGCGAAACATCCAAACCCAGTTACAGGTTTGCTAACCGTGCCCCTGGCACCACGCGCTGGGAGGCCCGGCAGCGGCCAGGTGAGGGTCGGGTCCCGGCTCTGCCATTAGTACCCCCAGTGGCCTTGATGAGGGCACGATGTATCTCCACCGACAAAGTGGTTATTTCTGGCCATCTGTAAAGTACACGCACATACAAACGCTGTCCTTGACAGTTTGATTGCTCCTTTCAGCCGGGAGCAAGGTGGGCTCCTGGTGACAGGCGACACCATGTGTGTGGAGGGGAGCGTCCTCGTCTGCAGACACCACAAGACAGATGCAAATTTGGCTCATTCTGGACTCTCCGGGCTTGCTGTGTGTGGCTTGCCTTGTGTGGTGTCTGCCAGGAGTCATAATGACAAATTTATTTGAGTGAGGGAGATGTGTGTGGGTCTCCCGAGTCTGAAGTCAGGGCTCCACCAAAATAACTTCCAAGGGCAGCCAAGCTGGACAGCGTCCCGGTCACCATGCCCGGTCACCAGTCCTGAGTGCCACGGTCTGCAGCAGAGCATGGTGTAGAGATGGTTTCGAGGTAACCACAAGCTAAGGAGCCCCTGGCCCCGCTGGACGCTGGAAGAGCAGGAAGGAGCCCCCTGCGTCTCAGGGGGCGGAGGTCCCTCTGACATCTCAGTCCCCGACTCCCCGCGTCTTGTGGCAACTTCCTGCAGCAGCTCGAGGAAGCTGACTCGGCTCCCTGAGAAGACGGGGTGGCAGAGCCACTGGCCACCCCAAACCAGCTGGGCCTTCTGGGATGTGTCACAGGAGGAGTGGGACAGAGGGACAGGGGAGAGACAGGAGGACAGGAGAGGAGAAAACAAGAAAGCAGGGTGTGAGGCAGGGAAGGACAGAGGGACGGGAGGGTGGGGGACACAGCGGGGACCGACTCCTGACCAGCGGGACGGGCTGCGGCAGCTTACATGGGGGCCCGTGTCCTGTCCTCTGCGGCCAGCTCATGGGGGGTGACCAGATTACAGGGTGCCACGGGGGTGCTTGGAGCTGGGAGGGGGAGCCTGGGGACCCCCTGGCGGGGCTGGAGGGGCGCGTCTCCCTCCCCATCCCCCTGCTCGCCCTGTTCCTCCCCTCCCCCACGGCCTCCACCACGCCCTCCTGCCTTGGAGCCCGCAGACCACCCGCGAAAATCCAAGTAAGCCTCACCTCCCCTCAGCTGCAGGTGCTGGGTACTGTGTCCAGCCATGAGATGGTCACAGGTGGCCAGCAGGGTGGCTCTCTCTATCCTCATGGGCACCGAGAGGCCCCCAGCCTCACCACCGCCAGAGCGGGGCACACAGGCTCAGGCCCAGCACCGAGGGTAACCGACAGGGTCGCACCCAGCTGCCCCTCGAACACGGTGCCACAGAGGGGCCGGCGGCCGACGGGCACGGAAGCCTCACCTGTGCCACTCCAGAAAAGCAAGCAGGCACGGTTTGGTTAGGTGTTGGTGTTTGGTTTTTTAAGTTTTAAACAAAACAAGTCAAAGAAGAAACGCTCAATCACAAGCCTTCAAAGCCGTCTGAACGGCTCCTCCTGAAGACGACCCCAGGGGCACGCTGACACCCGCACTGTTCTCCCCAGCAAAGGTCCTCCCGCCACTGTCCGGGTTTAGGGGTGCAGGCTGTGGGGACAGAGGCAGTGCATCCCAGGTCCCAGCAACTTGCAAAGAAAACCAGCAGAGGAGGTCAGGACACACAGAGGCAGCAGGAAGGAGAGAGGGAGACAGTGAGACCATGGCCAGCTCCGTGCTGTCGTCCAGGCCAGGCAACCCCCACACAATCACCACAAGCAGGGAAACAAGAGTCCCAAGACACTATGTCCGGCTCCTGAGCACTGGTGTCAGGATTTGAATTCTGCTCCAGCGTCTGTCCCAAACAGCGCACTGCCCTGTACTGAGCGCCATGGGTCAGGTCAAACTCTGCTGTTTGCTAGTGAATAGGAGGAGGTGGTGGACACTCCCTGCCCCGACGCCGAGGGTCACTGACCTCCTCCACATCCCTGTGCAACATGGGCACTGAGCTAGGGAGTCTATTCCAGGGTCACGAGAGTCGGGCCTCTTTGGGATGACAATCTACTGTTCCCTTCAAGAACAAGCCCATACAAAGGGCAGCAGGTGCAAAGATCCTGGGGTAGTAGAGTGTGGAAGGAGAGAGAAGAGGCCTGAGGAGGAGAGAAGCTGGATGCTTTGTGTCACAGTGCAGAGGGGGAGTTTGCTCAGAGGATAGAGCAGCCACTGGGGGACCTCGGGCCTAACAGAGCTGAGGGTGCTTGGAGCAGCGTGCTGTCCTGAGCTACCACGGATGGGTAGGTGAGGGTCTGCGCTGACTGCACTGGTGTCTCCTGAAAGTGAGCCAGGCCACAGGGCCACAGGGCCCCGCTGCACGTACGCACACTTACACACCCCTCTCTCTATTCCTGTTTGCCTCCTCCTAAGCTAAGCATTTCTTCTGATGATTAATGTGCCCCGAATCCTGCAGCGGCATCCGCAGTGGCCGTAGTCCCCACAGCAGAGGCTTGTGTGTCGCATCAGAGTCGCTGCAGGGACCTCACAACGGCACTCGCGCGGCCAGGACAGGGACGTCACCTCGCTGGGATGCCTGTGGCAGACCCCGCCCTGCATTCCTGGGCATCTGGTGCCCCTGGCCCTACCAGCACTCCCGGTCACAGGTGCGCTCTGTGAACACTGGCCCTGCCACTCCCTGGCATCAAAGACCTGCAAACATTTTTTATTCTCTCTGCAGACCTGGGCCCTGGGACGAGCCCCATCAGCTCCTGTGGGTGTCAGAGGCGTTAACCCCTGTGAGACCCAGCGGTTCGCAGAACGATGCACACCACCCCCGGCATCTGCATCCCCATCTCAGAACCTGGGCCTGGGCTGCCTGAGGCAGAGAAAGGGGCTTCGCCGGTGTCGAGAAGTTCGCATCCTTGAGAGAGACAGAGAAGTGACCAGGTCCAGGGTGACCACAGGGTACGTGCAGCAGGCAGGACGTCAGGCTCAGAGGAGGGTGGAGGGGACCGAGGTTGCAGCAGTGCAGCCACAGATAGGGCCGTGAGCCGAGGGATGCGGACGGCTTCTGGAACTGGAAAGCGCCCCGCAGCCCTCCCGACACCCGTCTCAGCCCTGCAAGATTCTCCGACTTCCACACTTACAGGACACACTGGATCTGTCACAGCAGCACCCCATGAACCAGAACCCGAGCCCCAGGAAACGCGCCCCTCAGGACCTTCACTGCACTGCTCAGGACCCCCCTTCCCCTCCAGCTTCTCGCTGGCTCCTGCTCCTGGGCCCCTTCCCCATCCTCCAGCTGCCTGCCTGCCCTTCTCCCTCGCCCGGCTTCACTGGGCTTGGAGGCTGCCAGGTCCTGGGAAGGACGCGCTGCTGGTCACTCTGCCACTGCCCGCACCCTGCAGGGGCTCCCCGTCTCCGCCTCATGGCGCCCATCTGACAAGAGGCTTCTGTGTGGCTCTGGCGTTCTCAGTCTGCTCCCTGGCGCGAGCAGAGGCGCTGGGACCCCGCCGCCCCATCCACCGCGGTCCACTAGAACGACGTTGGCACGGTCAGCACACAAACACTGCCCGGAATAAAGGAGCGTTTGTGCCCGGGCCGTGCCGCCAGGTTCCAGGCCAGCACCACTAAAAAGGAATCTGATTATCTCCGTCTCCAGCCTATGCCGAGCCGGGTTCCCAGTTGCCTAGATACTCGCCCCGTGCATTCGTGGGGTTTTTTTATTCCAATCTTTTTGAAAGATAATGTGTTTTATCTACATGTGCAGAGCTGGGCTTTTTAGTTTAAGGACTGAAGTTGAATGGTGGGCTGCAGTCCTAAACTCCAAGCCACCCACGGGAACAAATCTCTGCACTCAAAGCTCAGTAATTGGACAGAAAACCCAAGAAAAGGAACACTGCAGAGGGAAAAAAAGAAAACATGCACTCTCAGAGGGAGACAGAAAAGACACGGGCACATAGTGAGCTTGCCCAGCCACGGAGAGCACTGCAGACAGGCCACAAAGACTCCAAAGACGACACAGTGAGCAGTGCCACCACTGGACCGCGGCCTCTCTGCAGACCGCCCTGCTAAGGAGAGGCTGCCCCAGCTTCTGACCAAGAGGGCAGCTCTTCTGGAAATCAAATATCACACACAAACAGCCTCCAAGGCCTACTGATTTCACTTTCAAAATTTTCATCCACTCCACTGTCTCTGTGCAACAGAAAGTGACAGACTGGATGGGTGGATGGATGGATGGATGGATGGATGGATGGATGGATGATGGGTGCATGGGTGTGTGGGTGTGTGAATCGATGGGTGCAGAGATGGATGGATGGGTGGCTGTATTCACCAATGAATGAGTAGACGGGTGGATGGATGGATGGATGGATTGGTGGGTGGATGGATTGGTGGGTGGGTAGACTGGTGGATGGGTGTATGGATGGATGGGCCCATGGATTCATGAGTGGATGGATAAGTGGGGGAATGTACAAATGAATGCATGAAGGATACATGGGTAAGTGCATTAGTGAGTAGATGGATACATGCATGGGTGAATGGACATGGGGGTGCGCAGATGGATGGATGGATGGATGGATGGATGAGTGGGCAGATGCATAGATGGGTTCATGGATTCACGAATGGAGGGATTAAGTGGGTAGATGGATAAATGGATGCACAGATGGATGTATGAATCAGTGGATCAGTGGGTAGATACATGGATGCATACATCGGTGAGTGGATGGATGGATGGATGGATGGATGGATGGATGGATGGATGGATAAATTGGATGGATGAACAGATGGACGGATGGATGGACAGATGGATGAATGGGTAGATAGATGGATGGATGGATGGATGGATGGATGGATGGATGGATGGTTGGGTGGATGGATGGATGGATGGATAGATGGATAGATGGATGGTTAGATGGGTGAATAGATGGACGGTTAGATGAATGGATGAATGGATGGATGGATGGATGGTTAGGTGGATGGATAGATGGATGGTTAGATGGATGGATGGATGGATGGATGGATGGATGGATGGATGGATGGATGGTTAGATGGATGGATGGGTGGATGGATGGGTGGATGGATGGATGGATGGATGGATGGATGGAGGATGGATGGACAGATAAATGTGTAAATCACCATAGCTACTGCCCTTTACAAGCCTGCCTGCCTGCATGGACTCATCCACCTCACCCAGGCTTCCAAGCCTGGGGTCTCTCCTCACCCCTCTCAGGCCAAGCTCCCCCAAAGCTACAGATTTGCGTTCATGAAATCAAGGTGTCAAGCATCTAACACAAGGCAGGACCCCAGAACTGTGGCAACAACGCTCTCAGCTATAAGCCTGGTCTGAACCCCAAAAGAACAGAAACTTCCCCAAGGGCTGTGGGAGTATTCAGGGAGCCACTGGCTCTCCACACTGTCACAGGTGAAGCCATAAACGCCAGCTCCACAGTCCCCAGCCTCTCTGCACTGGAGCACATAACCCAGTTCCAACCAATCAGGAGTATGGAGGTCCAAGTTCCCTCTCTGGTGAGGGGAGGTTCAAGATCACCACTGCTGCTCCTCCCTGTGTGATGACCCCGTGAGAGGTGAGGCCGGGATGGCCAGTGAGATGGGAAGAGCCTTGTGCAGTGCCCAGCCCCAGCTCATGGCCCACGGGAGCCGGTGTGAGAAGGGAAGTCTGTGCTTCACAAGGAAGAAGTCAGGAGCCAGGAGGTGCCCAGCAGGTTAGCTCGGCAGCCGGGAAGTCACTGAAGACATCCCTGTCATCCTGGGAGGCCCATAGCTCCTCCTATGGGGACAGCGGCTCCTCCGTCTCCTTCCACACCATGCAGAGGACAGGAATCGGGAATACCTGCCCTGGAGCTGCTCATCTGGTCAACTGTCAGAAATTCTTCCCCAGCCCCAGATCCCTCCCCTTGGGTTTCATGGACCAGAAGGACACACAGTCTGCCATCCCTACAATGATCACCAGGCAGGACGACGGCACCATCACAGAGGGTAACACCAGCCTGGGCCACAGAGTGGCCCCATTTCCCAGCAGAAAGACAGAGGTGGCCATGCAGAAGGAAAAGTCCATGTCTCCAAGGTCCTATTAGCAGGGCTGCTGGGGAGGGAGCAGGACGCAGGACTGGCCAGAAGCTAGGGGAGGGCCCAGGCGCCTCACTGCCCACAGAGCCAGCTGGGAGGGGAGGAGTGGATCCACAGCAGCCGCCAGTTTCCCTGGCTTCTCAGCACGCGTCTTGCGTGCTTCTGTGGGACCCTCCGAGGATGATGTGGACTGCAGAGGCCACGGGGGCCTGGCGTCACCCACCCAGACGGAGCCTGCGTTTCAGCCTCCCTTCCTCCTCCTGCGTCCACCCCAGGTGTTCAGAGGACTCGGCCAGTACTTGCATAGCACTTTTCAAAACTCCCGCTCCGTCCCAGTAACGAGACAGGGGGAGACCCGAGGGCAGTCTTGTGTTAGCCATCTCTCCGTCACTGCGGTGAAGCAGCCGACATACTGCAACTTCACAGGGAGCCCACAGTGGGGCCAAAGCAAGGCCAGCCCTGAAAACACGGGGAGCCCAGAACAAGCTCCAGGAAGGCCAGGGGGCCCAGGCCAGCCAGGCAGACAGGTTGCTGGGCAGCGGGGCTGGAACTGACCTCCTCCTCCTGAGTGTGTAAATAACACACTGCAGTGGGGAGCAGCCCCTTCCCTCCCGTCAGGAGGGTGAGGCTCCCCGGAGCCCAGTTTTGCGCTTCTTTACTTTCTCATCCTCACTGGGGACACCTAGCCCTGCAGCAGGTCGCCACACTTAACAGAGGAGAGGTTTGTTTCGGGCGCGCCTGGCCGGCTCCCAGGCAGAGAGGCACGGAGGAGAAAAGCTACTCACCTCACGGTGGCCGGAAGAGGAGGGACAGGGGCAGGCTGGGGTGAGAGACGCGCCCTCCAGAGGCACCGCCTGGTGACCCACCTCCTGCACCCAGACCCCCGCAAACAGATCCACCGGGGAGCATCGCACCCCACAATCCCAACACCTTCCAAGGCCCTGTCTCCAAGCCCAGGAGACTTTAGGGAAACGTTTTAGATTCAGACCACGTGTCTTCAGGAGATGGGAACAACCAGCCAACATTTAAGAGCACTGTTTTGCTTGCACTGCATTGGGGACATATGTAAATTTATCTTCATATTTATACTCCATGAGACTGGTTTCCTGTCTAAACTATTAATAGAAAACTTTACTAAAAATATAAATAAACTTGAAAGTTAGAAGAATATTTAATAAGCATATGTAAAATAAGGTTATGGGGGGGAAGCTCCATTAATGTCTTAATATCTGAAGTTTAAGAAACATTGGCCAAATCCCTGGGGGCACCCCCAAGGGCCCTGAGTTAAGATTTCAAACCATGTTCCAGAAATTGGAAAGACCTCAGGGGCACAGAGACAGAGCTGGTACTCACCAGCACATCGCTTCTGTTCAGTTCACGTCTTTCTCAGTCGATGTGCCTTTTGCCACAGCAACACACCCCCAAAACGTGGGCCAGCTGGGCCATCACACGCATGCTGCCCCCTCCTGCCACACTCCTGCCAGACATGACTAAACAATCACAGAACTCGTCGGTGGCTGCCCGGGATTAAACACGGAGCCAAGTGGCCCCGACTCTAAGGGACGAGGTTGCCCCCTCCGCCTCGCCTCGGCTGCAGCCAACACTGCAGGAGAGCCCCATCTCCCCAACACACACAGCCCCAGCCATCCATCTCCGTCTCCATCTCACAGGTGGCTGTCACCACCACCAAACCGAAACGAGGGTCACTCCTGATGGGGACGCTCGTTCCCTCCACCCGATCTTCAAATCACAGGTGGCCCCGGATGCCTGGGATAAAGCACAGGCTTCACTTACCTGTCCACTGAGCCCCACACTCGGGAAAGGGCTGGGGACACAGTCGGGGACGGGTCTGACCAGAGCCCGACCCTCAGGGCTTTCTCCTCTGGGGAAGAGGATGGGAAAGCAGGAACTCCAAAGAGCCGCCAGTGACAGCGGCCGGCCACGGAGAAGACACAGCCAAGAGGTGCTGGTGATGACCGGCACGGGGGGGACAGTGTCACCGGGGAAGTGGGGGGAGCGGGGTGGGCAGACAGAGGGACAGGCAAGGACACAGGCAAAGAAGCCACCATGGACGCTCACAGAGGAGACGGCAGAACTGATTCTGGTATCCGGTTTTCATCTTCAAGGGGCTCAACTATCGCTAGCACCCGGCTTTGTGACCAGTGACACACACATCAGGGGAGGCCGAGGCTGTCGGGGTCCAACCCACGTCTGGGTCCCAGGCAGGAAGTCAGAGCAGTGCAGAACAGTGAGGGTGTCCAGCGTGGAAAGGGGTATGGAGTGCCTCGAGGTCCCCCCGGAATGCAGAGCTCCCCTCCTCCTCGAGGTTCTGCATCCACCCCCACCTGGTTCTCTGCATCTGGTTGTGGGCAGAGTTTCAGCCGAGCTCAGGGATCCAACCGGCCCGGGTCAGGGGAGCAAAACGCAGGCGGATTAATGGGCTCCGGGAGCCCATCCAGGCTGGTCAGCCCCCGAGGCTCTTTTGGTCCATCCATCTGCATTTGAAGGTTTGCCAATTCCGGGGCCACCTGAGGACTCTCAAGGCAAAGCCTATGATGAGGGGCAGGTCCTGGGTGTAGACAGCTGCTGTTCTCACCACGGGTCCTGAGACATTTCAGTGAAACCCCCTCCCCAGAGCACGGAGCTCAGTCCTGATATGCACACAGATGGGGACAGTAAAGAACAGGGCCCTCGGGAACCATTCAGTGGATCCCACACATGAGAAGAGAGTCACATGTTACTCTAAATAGTTCCCAGGGAGCCATCATGGAAAGCACAAGTGAGATGTAATTTTTTTGGGATGTCATGTAAGTCTATTTTCAGCGGCTAAACAGGGTGTATCAAATGCATGGAAAAATAACAGATTATACAATGTTTCATGTTTCTTTGAGAAATAAAAGCATTCAAAGCAAAGCTCTCCATGACACACTTTTCTGGAGCCCCGGCTTCTCACCATGGCGAGAGGGACGATGCCCACGAAGGTCGTCTGGCTGACGAAGATCTCGGAGACCACCAGCTCGCTCATCGAGTCCTCGACGGGGTACTCTACCTGCCAGGTGATCTGCTGGGCCCCAGCCAGCTCACTGCTGTTGTCGATCCCGAAGTCCACTTGCAAGATCTCATAGAAGGAGCCGTTGGGTCTGGAAAAGCAAACACGTAAAAGTTCAACTTAAAGCACATAACACAGCAGAAAGTCAAAAATGCATAAATCACCACGTTCCTACTCGTCAGCCAAGGGGGTGACTGCCAGCTGGAACCCAGCCCCCGCTGCCTGCAGAGAGCCGAGCTCACGGCTGCCCCTCTGTGCTCACATCGCCCTCTCCTCCTCCGTGGAAACAGCCTGTGCTGCTCTGCATGAGGATCCCACAGCGCACCGTGTCTCCAGGCACATGGCACACGGGGACCCCTCCCGGCTCACACAACCCACACTGCAATCCAGTGCCACACACAGCGTGGGGGCCCTTCCAGCCAGCCCAGCACCGCCCCGATCTCAAGGCCCATCCTGGATTGCAGCCGTTCCCGTTTGTTCTCAGCTGTAGAAGGGACTTGGGGAACTCCGAGGTCCGCGGCACACACTGTGAGTGGCAGAGGGGGCCACACTGGCGTCTGCACCTCGTCAGCCCTGGAGGGGATGAGGTGTAGGTGAGGAAATCCCGTGGGCCCTACTTCATGCCTTCCCTCCCTGTGTGCGCTTGGAGGAGAGGAAAGGAAGGCGGCAGGGCACACGGGGGCGAAGATGTCGTTTCCCGTATTTTAGCACGCGGGAAGGCTCTTGTGAGTTGCAAGCTGACCACCACACTGACGAGGAAATAACTCAAGAGAGAGCTGGAGCAGGTGAGCACACAGCACCCAGCAATCCTGCCCGTCAGCTGGCGTCCATCTCCAGGCCTCCAGCCAGGAACGTGACCGCGGAGAAACTGGGTCTCGAGGCCCAAGTCCTGAGTCACACAGACAGCTCGTTCTGTCCTGCACCACGAGGCTCTCTAGACAACAGTGGCCTTTCATTCCTGCTGGGCAGGGCTCGCGCTCTGGAAAGAGTTCTTTGAGGCAGCACATGCTGTCTGCTGCGGAGCCTGTCCCAGAATCTCCTACCTCGGACAGCTCCTCCTGCCTGCCATGTGTGACGGAAGTGGGGGACCAAAAACTGTACGCTGCCCTGACGTGCCAGGAGCTATCGGGCAACACCCAGGTGTAATAACAGTGCTGACAATGCTAAATTGCAGTGATTTGACGTAAGAGAAATTGTATCCTAAATCGGACATCAACCTCCATGAGCAACTGGATGTTCCTAGTGCTTTTCCCCATCTGGGAATGCTTTTTGGTTTGGTTTGCTTTGTTTTGTTTTGTTTTGTTTTGTTTTGCTTTTTGGTACTGGAGAATGAACTCACGACCTCACGCTAGGCATTTTGCTGGGAAAGTTTTGAGAACTCTCAGATACTGTACTATGGACTTCATCATGTGATCCCAAAACCAACAGAGACAGGGTTCTGGAATAATCCCAGGACTCCCACGCACAAACAGGCCGGGCTACCCTGGCTGAACCTCACCAAGCTGGGTGTGAGAGTTCAGGAGCGCGATAAATACTCAGATACAGACTTGTGCAAGTCATTTTGCACAGGAAAGAAAACATGTGTCGCCTACAGCTTGGTGGCCCTGGGTAGGACTGAATGGCACACGGGAGCCTCCCGTGGGGGACCCTTGTGCACCTCGGCAACCTCACAGATCAGGAAAAGACAGGAGAGGTTAAGGGCTGGGTCAGAGGTGCCAAAGCAGGATGAGGACCAGCTGCTCCGGGCTCACTTCAGACACCTGCATCCCCCAGCCCCACCTGAGGCCACGCCTCCTCTCGTCCTGGCCACGCCCATCCATCCACCTGCTCCTCTCCTCCTACCTGGGATGCTCCACCCTGTCCGATCAGACCTGCAGCTGTTCTTTGGGTGCTCTAACCAAAACGAAGGGGCTCATTCTAATACCACCTGGGTTCTCAGCCTTCAGAAGGCCCTGGAGAAGCGAATGCTGAAGGAGAAGATCCAGTGAGGAGAATGAAGGTGAACCCTGTCTGGTACCCACTGTTTAGTGCTGCTAAACCTGCACCCCAGTCCCGCAGTACACCGGAGTGGCCCGACTCTGGGGGAGAGGAGCGTCCGAGTCTGACCCATGGGCACTTCCTCCCCACTCTGACTTTCCAGCCTATGAGTTAGACCAAGCTCAGGAGGTGCCCAGGTCAGGCAATGCCTGGCACAGCAACTAGTTACCCAGAGTCATGTCTGTGTACGAAGGTTCATTGTTGCTGTTTGTGACTTTCCTCCAAGCACAGGAGGGAAACCTCTTACTCTGGGCAGCCAGATGCCTGCTAATTTGTCGGGCGCAGGCGCTCAACATACTCCGCGCAGGACCAAGAGCCACCTCAGCTTCCGCAATGCGTTATGTCCCTCTCCAAATAAACTTCTCTGCCGCAACTAGTGATGTTTACTCCGTGGCAGCTTGTGATTGGCCACAGTCAGATAGGCAGCTTGTGATTGGCCACAGTCAGATATATAAGCCAGAACCCGCCTCAATACAGCGGCAGTTAACTGTTACCCACAAGAGCGTTTCCTGTCTCATTGGGGGGCTGCGCCGGTCACTAATCTGTGATTTCTATGGAAAGGGCTCACAGCTATTAATTTTATCTGCTCCTGGTCTACTCTAGATAAACCTTCAGGGAGAGAGACGGGGACCCAGTCCAGCAGCTTGTCCCCAGGGACCCATCCAGTCATGTTCCGAGCGTGTCACTCATGAGGGCAACGTGGGTCCTTTTACAGGAGGAAGAGAGACAGAGGGGCGGGACAGAGTCTGCCAGCTGACACTGTCTCCTCCAGGCCGCGCCAGTCATACAGACCGCTTCTCTCCCTGCACCTTCCCGGGTAGTTCTGGGCCACCAAGCGGAGATGGCAGCACCTCCTCTCCCCAAGGGATTTCCTGCATGCGGGACAAGAGGGGACATCTCTGGTCTTGGGTTTGTTTTATTAGGGTATGAATATGAAAAATGACCAAAACGCAAGGTGGACAGCGGACACGTGGAATGCAAGCTCCAGAGCAGGGCTGGCAGGTGACACCTGAGGACAAAAGTGTACCCAGTGCTCGCTGCTCTGATGGCAGAGCTGGCCCGGTGCCTGGAGACGTGGAGATCTTCGGGACGGGTTTGCTTAACCCAGGCATCACAGGTGCCCAAGAGGCCCAGGGAGATGCCCTGGGGAACTGGGGTGATTCCCTCCACACCCTGGGGGGCACGGCGCTCCCCATAGGCAGGGAAGCCCATACCTCGTCCTCCTGCCCAGCTGGGAAGTGCATCTCCACCCACCGCTCACAACAGACACAGATGCCTCAACTGCTGGGATGTGTGTCCTTCGAAGGGCAGAGCCCGTGACGCCGCCATGGTCACCACAGTGTCTGCATCCTAAGCTCCGTGTGTGTGGCGCTTGAGATGGGTGGGGCTCTGCGATTCACCAGGGCAAACAAACACACCAGGTCCCTGTGCCATCCGGCAGGGAAAGGCACAGGACAGTCCAGTCTGCGTCAGGGTACACACCACAGCCACCGCGAAAGGGGAGGAATCGGTTTGCTTTTAAAAGTTAATCTCTTTAACTTTTAAAAACAATTTTAAAACATGACCATTTCTAAGTAGCTACTTTTTGAGTTAAAATAGGTGAATCGCAACAGAAGGCAACAGAAAGGTATCAGGAAACCAGCACCTCGGCCGAGAGCTGACATTTGAGCCGAGCCCTCCGGGGTGGGTGAGAGCAAGCAGAGGCTCGGCAAATATTTGTCAAAAAAATGAGAAAATCTATTTTAAGCCCAAAAAAAATTATAAGGGAAAACGTGTTCCAGACCATCAGGAGGAACACAGAGCAACATCCAAAAGGACGCCCTTCAGGTCCCCGTTCAGAGCCACCCCTCACCCAACACCCTCAACGGGTCCCCACCCTGCAGCTCTGCCCGCCCTGCTCCGGCTGCGCCACGGCCCCCAGCGCCTCGCATCAATCGCCACGCGACACTCACACATGCAAAGGAGGCAGGACCAGAAGCCCACTTTGCATGCTCATGAGTCCCCAGAACAGGGCCACGGACACACAGACACCTAGGACACACACAGGTGCCCGGAGGCCCAGGAGGACTGGTGCAGTGCCGGGAGGAAGCAGAGGCTCCTGGGCCTGCAGCCCGGAGGGCTTCCTGGAGGAGCTGGCAGGGCTGGGAATCGGAGGGTGCATGTGGGCGACAGGCAGCCCCACAGCCCAGGGCTTGTGGTCCCGGGTCACCTCTCTGTCCTCTCCTGACACCTTCGCCACCACCACCACCGCTAGAATCCAGACCACACCCGCGGTGTCCCAGGGAGGCACACGGCCCCAAGTTGCTGGCCCCGCTGGCCTTGCATTTTACTCAGGGCCACAGCGGCTCTGAGCCCTGCAGGACAGAGGCCCGCCTGCCATGCTTTCATCAGACCCGCGCTGTGCAGGCCTGGCGTTGTTTCCTCGCTGTGTGGCTCTGGTTGACGAATCAGGGCCGGTCCACAGCCAGGGTCTAGCACCACTCAAGAGCTGCCAAGCATCCCTCAGGGGCCTGCAGGCTTTCACACATCCCCTCCTCACCCACGTGACCATCTCCTGCTGTGCCGTGGCCGGCTGCTGTACTGAAGTCTTTTTTTAAAAAAAACCCTAGAACCAGGCCACCGGGAGTGGCCCAGGCAGTGGGCCCCCCGTTATGGCATTGCTGGCGGACTGGGAGAGCCAGAGCTGGGCTTTACTTAACCTCCCCTCCGCTGCGTTTCTGAAAAATTTGAGCATGCGTGTGTGCGTGTGTGCGGGTATGCATGTGTGCAAGTGTGCATGCGTGTGCTCCTAGGGGTTGAACCCAGGGCCCTCACGCTGAGATACCTCACCCCTTCTCTACCTTTTATTTTGAGACAGGGTCTCACTAAGTCACCAAGCTGCCCGGGCTGGCCTTCAACTTAGGATCTGCCCACCTCAGCCTCCCAGAGTGCCCAGGGAGTAGTGGATACTTTTGAAAATGGGTAATGTCCCCATATACACATGCAACACGACCCCAACATGACCAATGGACTTCTGGCTCCCCTGGAAAACATGGAAGCTCAGACGTCACCGTC